CTCTCTGGGTAGACGCTCTATCCACCAGACCACAGATGTCGTCTCTGGGCAGATGCTCTATCCACCAGACCACAGATGTCGTCTCTGGGCAGACGCTCTATCCACCAGACCACAGATGTCGTCTCTGGGCAGACGCTCTATCCACCAGACCACAGATGTCGTCTCTGGGTAGACGCTCTATCCACCAGACCACAGATGTCGTCTCTGGGCACACACTCTATCCACCAGACCACAGAGGCAGTCTCTGGGCACACACTCTATCCACCAGACCACAGATGTCGCCTCTGGGCAGACGCTCTATCCAGTAAACCACAGAGGCGGTCTCTGGGCAGACCCTCTATCCACCAGACCACAGATGTCGTCTCTGGGCAGACGCTCTATCCACCAGACCACAGATGTCGTCTCTGGGCAGACGCTCTATCCACCAGACCACAGATGTCGTCTCTGGGCAGATGCTCTATCCATTAAACCACAGAGGCGGTCTCGGGGCACACACTCTATCCACCAGACCACAGATGTCGTCTCTGGGCAGACGCTCTATCCAGTAAACCACAGAGGCGGTCTCTGGGCAGACCCTCTATCCACCAGACCACAGATGTCGTCTCTGGGCAGACGCTCTATCCACCAGACCACAGATGTCGTCTCTGGGCAGACGCTCTAGCCATTAAACCACAGAGGCGGTCTCTGGGCAGACCCTCTATCCACCAGACCACAGATGTCGTCTCTGGGCAGACGCTCTATCCACCAGACCACAGATGTCGTCTCTGGGCAGACGCTCTATCCACCAGACCACAGATGTCGTCTCTGGGCAGACGCTCTATCCACCAGACCACAGATGTCGTCTCTGGGCAGACGCTCTATCCACCAGACCACAGATGTCGTCTCTGGGCAGACGCTCTATCCATTAAACCACAGAAGGGGTCTCCTGGCAGACGCTCTATCCACCAGACCACAGATGTCGTCTCTGGGCAGACGCTCTATCCATTAAACCACAGATGTCTTCTCTGGGTAGATGCTCTATCCAGTAAACCACAGAAGGGGTCTCTGGGCACAAACTCTATCCACCAGACCACAGATGTCGTCTCTGGGTAGATGCTCTATCCAGTAAACCACAGAAGCGGTCTCTGGGCACAAACTTTATCCACCAGACCACAGTTGTCGTCTCTGGGCAGACGCTCTATCCACCAGACCACAGATGTCGTCTCTGGGCAGACGCTCTATCCATTAAACCACAGATGTCGTCTCTGGGCAGACGCTCTATCCATTAAACCACAGAAGCGGTCTCTGGGTACACACTCTATCCACCAGACCACAGATGTCGTCTCTGGGCAGATGCTCTATCCACCAGACCACAGATGTCGTCTCTGGGCAGACGCTCTATCCACCAGACCACAGATGTCGTCTCTGGGTAGATGCTCTATCCACCAGACCACAGATGTCGTCTCTGGGTAGATGCTCTATCCACCAGACCACAGATGTCGTCTCTGGGCAGATGCTCTATCCACCAGACCACAGATGTCGTCTCTGAGCAGACGCTCTATCCACCAGACCACAGATGTCGTCTCTGGGCAGACGCTCTATCCACCAGACCACAGATGTCGTCTCTGGGTAGACGCTCTATCCACCAGACCACAGATGTCGTCTCTGGGCAGACGCTCTATCCACCAGACCACAGATGTCGTCTCTGGGCAGACGCTCTATCCACCAGACCACAGATGTCCTCTCTGGGTAGACGCTCTATCCACCAGACCACAGATGTCGTCTCTGGGCAGATGCTCTATCCACCAGACCACAGATGTCGTCTCTGGGCAGACGCTCTATCCACCAGACCACAGATGTCGTCTCTGGGCAGACGCTCTATCCACCAGACCACAGATGTCGTCTCTGGGTAGACGCTCTATCCACCAGACCACAGATGTCGTCTCTGGGCACACACTCTATCCACCAGACCACAGAGGCAGTCTCTGGGCACACACTCTATCCACCAGACCACAGATGTCGCCTCTGGGCAGACGCTCTATCCAGTAAACCACAGAGGCGGTCTCTGGGCAGACCCTCTATCCACCAGACCACAGATGTCGTCTCTGGGCAGACGCTCTATCCACCAGACCACAGATGTCGTCTCTGGGCAGACGCTCTATCCACCAGACCACAGATGTCGTCTCTGGGCAGATGCTCTATCCATTAAACCACAGAGGCGGTCTCGGGGCACACACTCTATCCACCAGACCACAGATGTCGTCTCTGGGCAGACGCTCTATCCAGTAAACCACAGAGGCGGTCTCTGGGCAGACCCTCTATCCACCAGACCACAGATGTCGTCTCTGGGCAGACGCTCTATCCACCAGACCACAGATGTCGTCTCTGGGCAGACGCTCTAGCCATTAAACCACAGAGGCGGTCTCTGGGCAGACCCTCTATCCACCAGACCACAGATGTCGTCTCTGGGCAGACGCTCTATCCACCAGACCACAGATGTCGTCTCTGGGCAGACGCTCTATCCACCAGACCACAGATGTCGTCTCTGGGCAGACGCTCTATCCACCAGACCACAGATGTCGTCTCTGGGTAGACGCTCTATCCACCAGACCACAGATGTCGTCTCTGGGCACACACTCTATCCACCAGACCACAGAGGCAGTCTCTGGGCACACACTCTATCCACCAGACCACAGATGTCGCCTCTGGGCAGACGCTCTATCCAGTAAACCACAGAGGCGGTCTCTGGGCAGACCCTCTATCCACCAGACCACAGATGTCGTCTCTGGGCAGACCCTCTATCCACCAGACCACAGATGTCGTCTCTGGGCAGACGCTCTATCCACCAGACCACAGATGTCGTCTCTGGGCAGACGCTCTATCCATTAAACCACAGAGGCGGTCTCGGGGCACACACTCTATCCACCAGACCACAGATGTCGTCTCTGGGCAGACGCTCTATCCAGTAAACCACAGAGGCGGTCTCTGGGCAGACCCTCTATCCACCAGACCACAGATGTCGTCTCTGGGCAGACGCTCTATCCACCAGACCACAGATGTCGTCTCTGGGCAGACGCTCTAGCCATTAAACCACAGAGGCGGTCTCTGGGCACACACTCTATCCACCAGACCACAGATGTCGTCTCTGGGCAGACGCTCTATCCAGTAAACCACAGAGGCGGTCTCTGGGCAGACCCTCTATCCACCAGACCACAGATGTCGTCTCTGGGCAGAAGCTCTATCCACCAGACCACAGATGTCTTCTCTGGGTAGACGCTCTATCCACCAGACCACAGATGTCGTCTCTGGGCAGACGCTCTATCCACCAGACCACAGATGTCGTCTCTGGGCAGACGCTCTATCCACCAGACCACAGATGTCGTCTCTGGGCAGACGCTCTATCCAGTAAACCACAGAGGCGGTCTCGGGGCACACACTCTATCCACCAGACCACAGATGTCGTCTCTGGGTAGATGCTCTATCCAGTAAACCACAGAGGCGGTCTCGGGGCACACACTCTATCCACCAGACCACAGATGTCGTCTCTGGGTAGATGCTCTATCCATTAAACCACAGAAGGGGTCTCTGGGCAGACGCTCTATCCACCAGACCACAGATGTCGTCTCTGGGTAGATTTCTCTATCCATTAAACCACAGAGGCAATCTCTCGGCAGACACCCTATCCGTTATACCACAGGGGTCTCCAGGCAGATACTCTGTCCTTAACACTTTGATTTGTAGAAATGGAAACCCAAACAGAACACAACAGGGTGCTAGGTTAAAACAAGAATTGCAGTTAGATCCGCTATCTGTCATAGATCTCCTAAAGCCAAGAAATGCAATAGCGAAGACCAAACTAACTCTATTTCTGAGAGATGGACAGCTACTCGAACGTATATAAACAGAGCAGCCAAGGATAGAAATGAAATCATATCAATACAAAAACAGAAATTATATGAACACCAAACTCACAATAGATAGGTGTACCCTACTCACACACAGGAGTACCAAAGAGGGACAGGTCAGCCGAAATTGCCTAGGCAGAAGGCGACCTCCTAAACACTTAATGCAACAACAACAACAACAACAAAGACATGCATGAAGAGATGTATCAGATTAGAGTAAAAGATGCAATTTTAATGAGTTTGATACAAAGTTAAAATTGAGCTAAGCAGATGTAGAACTTCTAACAGACATACTTCACTTCAAGCTGACAGTGAATACAGCCTTAAGAGGACAAACTATTTCAAAGAAGTACCGTATTCGACGTAATAAGCGCCCAGGGCGCTCTCAAAATTAGAAATAGGGGGCTCTTATTGGAATATTATTTTGGTGGAAAAAATTGAGTTGAAAGATAAATTTCGTGGTTTATGCTGACGGTCTGAACTGTTTATATACAACAGATAAATTTTTCCAGATTAATTAAGGGGGCATTTAACACACGAGTGCGTATTATACATGAATAAATAAGTCTTGTGTACATTGATCAATCGGAAGGGATGCTAATTTGGATTGTTCACTTGCCAATATATTAGCAAATATCGCCATGGGCGCTTATTAGAGCGGGGCGCTTATTACGTCGAATACGGTATTAGAAATGAACATTCACATATAGCCTACTGGGTAAAACCACAGTGATCATACACTTTGGGGAGCTGAATTGTAAGTTTTTTGCTATAGTCTTACAGTTCTATTAAATTCATGATCTGATGTGTGAACTGGGAGTCAGTTGCATTATGGGATTATTTTTATGACATTCATGCATAATTTCAAATCATGTTTGTGTAAACTACATTGGGACTGGAGAACTTTAAATACATAAAATCAGTGTAGACCTTTGTTATGTTTGACGATGCAGATCTGGGCGATCTTCTTTTTTATGACTCTAAATCTCACTTGACTAGATTACAAAAACTAGTAAACGGTGGGTGATTGGACCTGTAAATTTCTAACTTGAAAAATAATGTTTGTAAAGCACTGATCTTCATTTTGGTTATTGGGGTGAAGGAGATTGAACTCACGTATCAAGCCGATTCAAGAGCACCTGGCGACTTGAAATGTTCGTTTGAAACGAGCTGTGACAAATAAATGCACAGATTTTTACATTAAATTCATTCTTAGTTGGTGTCGTGAATATTAACAAGCTTCTCCCATTGATGACCCAAAAATATTCCCTATCTGTACTCTCACTGTCTCGTGTCGTTTCCACTCTGAGATGATGTGCGAGCGACCGACTTCTATCTAAGGATCACATTATGTGTATACGTCATCAATTTTGCGATCTGTCAGATGCCTCGGCTATTTCCGTTACTTTCCGATTTCTCCCGTTATGAGACATCGACGTGTTTGATTGGATAACGATGGTTACCGAGGTGCTTTCTCACTACTGCCTCACTCGTCATTGTACGGAACTGACCAGCCATTGGAAACGAAATCAAGAAGACGACAAACAATCATCGTCATTTATCAACCGATTAATCGCATAACGAGTGATTTCGATAAAGTATCCAATAAGGAGTGTACTTAAGGACATCTTCTTGGTTTCGGCCAGCGAGAAGAAAGCCTATGCCTTGAAAGAAAGGAGAATTTTCCCTTTTTACTGGTGTCGTAAGAGAACATTTGGCCATTTTTTCGGATCAGCTCCTGGAAATGTAACAGATCTCTCGTCGTCTGTACGGAAGTTAGTCTCAAAATCGCATCTTTCGACGCTTTATAATGAGCGGAAGACCAAGGACAACTTCTTTTGCCGAAGGAGGACGGGCTGGACAGCCTGCGTTCGGAGGAATGAAAACCTTCGGTAAGCCTATCCGTCGTTATTCTGGGTCAGGCATGAAAACCTGATAAAGATGGCGGACAGATCAATCTAGCAGTCAGCATCCTGTCTTTATAAACAGACAACACTGGTACTCGTAACGTTGATTGTGTATTTATGCCAGTATGTTCTATTTTCAGTTATTGAAATTACAAATATGTAGATTCATAGTGTCATTTCATCAGGTCAGAAATGTCCATCAAAGGTAGACTGACACTGACAGCCGTACAGACTGTCAGGGGTGAACAAGGCCTACAATTTTATATTATGATGATAAACATTGAAAATGACCATTTCAATTAAACCGTGATGACAAGTTTAGATGTAAGAAGAAATTGATGAAATTCAGGTTAGAATATTGATTATATATTTTTCTCACTGTATAAATATAAGTTATGTCTTGGTTACAAATAATTTAGTTTAGGGTAGGAGAATGGAGAATTTCCATAAGTTAAAACTAAAAATACCAAATATTGAAATCGACAGTCCATCAATTGGCATAAACCTTGGCGATCTTCTTGTCGGATATATCATTGTTTTGGACAGATATGTATGCAGGGCAGTTTGTTTCTATTGATAAGTATCACGGTTTCATCACATTACGCTAAGCACACACTATTGTCGGTATTACGGTTCTTTCTTTCAAGGAACCATTTTAGGGGTCAGTATGTCAGGTGATTTTGACTGTCAATGTTTGACAAATACATCTGAAATGTTCCTGTAATTCCAGCATTTAATTAATTTCTTTCTTATGAAGATCATGAGGTGCCTTTGTATATACTTTCATACATTTTAACCCAGTGTCCCAATGTGGCGATGGTCCCACTTTTTATGTGGAATGTCATTAAGAATTAGAAATTTTAGGTGTAAATATAAGCCATGAAATTTATGCCCTTATACAAGCATTTCATGAAGAGTATTGTTTTGACAGTTGTATATATAAGCATACAGTATGCACTTTTAAACTAAACAAACATGGAAAATTAAGGTTAGTGATGGAACAACATTTCTTCTGATGTCAAGCACAGCACTGGCTGCAGTATCATCCAACAAATCTCTCATTATCTACAATGACCAATGTACCTATTGTCGGGTGCAGGCTAAAATGGCACCCCAGCAAAACGTCACCGATTTCTCTGGCGAAAATGGCACCGCATTTGGCGCAAAAGGGCTACTATGTGTCGGGCGAAAATAGCACCTCTATTTTTAATAAGGATAAGAACGATTTTTGTAGTAATATATATGGTTTATTTACATGGTCACAGTTATCACAGCATGTTGTTGTTTTCTGACATTCTTCTCTCATGCAACACATCGAAAGGCCATTGTGAATAATTGTGATCTGACAGCACCATGTTAGGCCTCTTAAATACAGTTTCAGTTTAAATTGAGTAAAGGTACTTAAAACTTGAAAGCGTATAGTGTTTTCACATTAAGTTAACTGCGCCTCCCAATCAGTCGGCGAGTAAATTGGAGTAGGGGTCTAATTAGCACTAATAGCACTTATTTGACCAAGGTAAAAAAAAAAATAAGGTGCCGTTTTCGCCAGGCAATAGTAGCCGTTTTCTTCGCTTGAGTCGAGGTGCCGTTTTCGCCCGCTGACGTTTCGCCCATCGGTGCCGTTTTCGCTATAACCCCCTTCTGTCAGTGCCATCACGAAGCCTGTTACCCAGCCAACCCTATCTGGATTGATGTTTTTATACTGCAATTTACCAAGGACAGTCTGCCAAGGGTTTCACACTTTGCTTCAGTGCCAGCTGCCGCCTTCAAGTGCCTCAACATGAGATTTATTATTTACTGATGATCTTGGAAGTTCAAATAACTCCCTGGTACTGCAATCACGAGACTACAAACCATCTAGATCTTTGTAATAAATTTTACGAATGTTTATTGACAACGGAACATTTGAGGTTGTAAACGTCATGAAAGTGTAAAATGTTTGCATTCTGAATTTGACAAGCAACGTTTGATTAACTAGGGTAAAAATACAATCTTGTATGCAGAGCAGATGAAGAGGCACCTTGGCACAACTTTTGTCAGCCAAACGTAACTGATTGGTTCTATCTTGTACCATTGAAATGTACCTAGGGCAGTATGCATACCTCATTGTCCTGAGGCAAGGGAGTTAACTGGCTGTAAGGGTCCAATTGTCAAACTAGGCTGGAATGATGGAGTTATTTAGCCATGCTTATGAGTCTCTGCATCGTCCAGTCAAAATGGCGTAACAAAATCAACATCCGGTATGTCACCTGCATTGCAGATTTTGGTCAATTGCAGAATTTGTAAAGCATATGTACAACCAGCTTGGCGTGAACGGATATTTTCCAAATGTTTTCATCCTTTTACTCAAGGTGCTCAATTGATTTGATGCACTGCGCGGAGTAAGACCTGTTTCATGACCATATCCTCACTTGATTGGACGCTGACATTTTGTTATAGAAAAAAAATGTCAGTAATATGAGAGGTGGAATCTGATTGGCCAATAGAAGGACATACCGGTAACTGGAAATAGCCACTGGTTGCGCTACAATCGAGCCCAGAAATTCCAGCCTTGTTCGGAAGGGGTGGAAACTGGACTTTTACAGTCAGTTAATACACTTGCCTCAGGAAGGTGTGGTATAATACTGCCCTTGGTACATTTCAGTGGGACCACAAGCAGGGATAATTCTATGGTGAGGACATGCTTTTAGCCCCTAAATTTGAAAAAAAGGCCCACATTTTTAAATATAATGAGGCATTTTAACATTGCGCTGTATGGGCGTAGACAAGTAGAAATTTGCCATTTTTAAGGCTTTTGCTATGTGTTATCAGTATCATTATTATAAGGACAAGTGGACTGACAATGTTAGTTTCTACTGCTGAAGGTGTATCCTTAGCCTCAGTAGGCAAATGTGCCTGACATGTATGATCGCATTGCATCAAATCATACCTATGCCGATGTACCTGGACCAGACTTTTCTGAGGCGCCAAAACAGTCTCATTCTTGCAAGATCGTAGGTTATCATAAAAAGATTAATTAACATGATCAAACTGATACCTTTTTTTATTTCCATAAAATATAGAAAGGATACTGTTTATGAGCATATTTTGACCTCTGGCAAGATGGTCAAACTTCCACAATAGTTACGTTTTCATAAGGACTAGTAGAAATTTGACATTTTTTACTTGGGTTTTGTGTTTATGTTATCAACATAAAAACTAGTGGACTCAGAATGTTAGTTTCTATCACTTTTTGACAGCAGTGTGTACATAATTACCGGCGTTCCTGTTTACCGGTAATTACCCGTTTTATACCAGTAAAATTAGGCTTGGCCCGGTAATTCATGTGACTGCCAGTCCCTGTGGACCGGCAAATAATGTACCTTATAAATCTTTGTTTTTGAACAAAACGTCTGTGGTATTCATATAATTACATTTTTTAAACCAAAAAAAGCTTGTCTGCTACCATCAGGGTTTCCCTTTGTCTATTTCTAGGTTAAATATCCATTTGTACTTGTAGCGACTTTGTATTGAAATTAAAAAAAACAAAGAGAAAATTGTGACTGAAGTTTGCGTGAATGTGGTATAGATCTAAGTTACTTCAGAGATAACATCTTTGCACTAAGCATAAAGTTGAAGGAATTAAAACCAAATAATTTTCATACGTTTTTATATTTGTTGAAAGTTGGGACTGGCAATTTTTAGAGTTGACAGTCCACAAGGACTGGCAGTTTCAAAAGCCAGGGGGAACACAGCCGGTAGGACCAGACAGTATCGTGACAGATATCATGAGCATTGGTCCACACAATTGGAATATGACATGCAATCAACTAGTGAGTGAGTGACTATGGTTTTACGCTGCTTTTAGCAATATTCCAGCAATATCACGGCGGGGGACACCAGAAATGGTCTTCACCCATTGTACCCATGTCGGGAATCGAACCCGGGTCTTCGGCGTGACGAGCAAACGCTTTAACCACTAGGCTACCCGACTGCCCCCAATCAACTAATGTCCCAGAGTCTTAACACAAACCTCTATCCCTGGGATTAGGTGTTCTAGGCTGAAGATGTTTTACTTGTTTGTTCCAAGGGATTGACAGTTTCCCTTATCTCTGAGAATTTATTGATTCCTACCTTGACAGTGCAAGTATCATCATGAAAGGAGTATTGATTATCTGTGATTGGTTTGTGTGTCAGCATGGTCAGAAGCCTTGAATGTGTATTGATGAACCCAATACAATACATGTAGGGCATTTGGTACCAGGAGATTGTTTTACATGACAAGACGGGGGAAATCCATATTGGCCTCAGAAATTAGGCCAAGGTGTAACTTTGGTAACGTGATGTTTTCAAACTGTTTGAGCAAACTCAGATTATTGTGACAAAGAAAGATATTTTATGTCAGTTTCGTTCAGTCAACAAGCCTGGGTGCTGGGCACCTGTCCTGACGTATAATCCTATGTATTGTAGTGAGCTGAAATATTGGATCATAAAACTGGGGATGGTTGTCAGCGATAGAAACCACAGTTTTTGTCCACTAGTCCTTATATAGACCCGTGAAGATTCCGGGTTAGAATAGGTCTTCAGCAACCCATACTTGCCGTAAAAGGCAACTATGCTTGTCGTAAAAGGCGATCGAACGGGATCGGGTGGTACATGGCATCGATCCCAATTGCGTGGATCGATGCTCATGATGTCAATCACTGGATTGTCTGGTCCAGACTCGATTTTTTTACAGACCGCCGTCATATAGCTGGAATACTGCTGAGTGCGGTGTTAAACATCAAACAAAACAAAAAACAAAATTATAAAGCATAAAGCAAAATCCTTAAAAATGGCAAATTTCTACTGCTCCTTATGATACCTTAACTATTGGGCATTTTGGGAAGGACTATGGGACTAGTGCCAATTTCTAATGCTGGTCGTATTAGCTGCCTGACAGTGCTTTATAATGAGCTATTATACTCGGTGACAAAAACTGTTTTATTTTAAATGATTGGGAAACT